ATATTTTTAATACAAATGAAATCATAATGTATGTGCAATTAATTTTGAATCTTGGTGTTTTTTTCTTCAAACTATACTGAAGCAGGGGTGCCTGGGTGGTTAGTGAGTTAAGGATCTGACTCTTGATTTCGGCTCAGGTCATGAGATAGAGCCCCGTGTCGGGCTCCATGCTGAGTGTGGAGCCTGCTTAAGATTCTCTCTCTCTCCTTGTCCCTCTTCTTCTCATGCTCTCTCTCTCTCTCTCAAAAAAAAACTATATTGAAGCATATTTGATGTTAAGGATGTCTTACAGACATGATTACTGATAATCATAGAATAAATATCCTATAACTGAACTGTTTTTATTGTTGGACATTTAGGTTGTTTTGATTCCTTTCCTATTTTATTTTATTGTATTTTAAAGTTCATTTATAGGGGCGCCTGGGTGGCGCAGTCGGTTAAGCGTCCGACTTCAGCCAGATCGATCTGCGGTCAGTGATTCGAGCCCCAGCGATAAATCCTGAGCTGATAACGAAGGCCTGAGCCTGATATTTCGATTCTGTGTAAGCATCTCCCACCCTCTCTCTCTGCCCCTTCCGTTCCATTGCTCCGTCTCTCTCTGTCCCAAAAATAAATAAACGTTGAAAAAAAAAAATTTAAAAAAAAAAAATAAAGTTCATTTATTTATTTTGAAGAGAGGAAGACAAGCTGATGAGGGCAGAGAATGAGAGACAGAATCTCAAGCAGGCCTGTGTCATCACTCTTCCAGCAAAGCATACAGATCATGATTCGACCAGATCAAGGGACGCGGCATCAACAGCACTGAGCCACCTTGAGTGCTCCATTCCTTTGCTATTTAAAAAAAATTTTTTTTTTCAACGCTTATTGTATTTTTGGGACAGAGAGAACAGAGCATGACGGGAGGGCAGAGGGGGGAGACACAGAATCGGAAACAGGCTCCAGGCTATGGAGCCATCAGCTCGCCTGAGCCAACTTCCCAAAGGATCCATAATGTGCACTCAAGGCCTCGACGCATTTCACTGAATCATTTAATACCTCAGGCATCTTCCTGACCTCTTCGATCTTCTATTTTAAATAGTACTGCAGTGAACATCATTATAGCCAAATGTCTTTGCTGCAAGTTTAAAAAGAAGAAGTATTTCTAATGGTAGATTCTAAAGTGTGAGTGATTAAAGACAAAAAAATAAATAAACATAAATAAAGTGAGAAGTTACAGGTTAATATATTTTAAAAGGCTTGCAATGGGGACAGTCATTCTGAGTTCATGACACCAAACTGTAGCCACCATAAAGGGAAAAATATATGGTTGAATTTTAAAATTCTGTATCAGAAAAAACCCCTTGCTATGAAGAACTACACAAGTGAAAAAGACCTGACCAATTTAAAAAAGACTCCTCCTGACAAAGAAAATCTGCATAGCCAACAAATATTTCAAAGGATGTTCTACCCCAATAGTCATTAAAAAACAAAAAAGAACAGGGGCACTGGGTGACTCAGTTTTGAGCGCTGATCGGCGTCAGCTCAGGTCATGATTCACTGGTTTGTGAGTTAGCCATATGGGTTCTTGTGCTGAGCAGCTCCTCAGAGCCTGGAGCCTCAGCTCCAGATTCTGTGTCTCTCTCCTCGCCCCGCTCACACTTCTGTCTTCTGTCTCAATAATAAATATATGTTAAAAAAAGAAAACAAGCAACAAGAACAAAGATGATGTACTATTTTTCAGTTGTAAGTCCATGTAAAGGCAACCATCTTGAGAGGAAATATGCAGTTACAATATAAGTTGATATATTTCTGGAAGCAGTTTGTCGAGACACTCGACTTGGAACTCTCAGGATTA